CGATGAAATTTTCTACACAGTTCAGTCTTAACAATATCTCGGTCGAGTTCGAAGATGAGAAGAATTGGCCGAACCGTTCCTGAGTTATTGCAAAAATACTCATTTTTCCCTATGGCTTCCTATGCGAAAATCGATCCATCTCTGCTTTCGTAAAAACATTTTCCTATCATAGTCAAACAAAATCCCAACTATTATATACCATTCGATAGAGAATTTTACGAGCTAGAAAATGGTATATAAAACATAAAGAAACAAGAAGGCTAGCTCACCTATTGCAAAGATAAATAAACGGAAATCGGTTCTGTTCTTGTCCACGCTCTAACTGATCCACAATTAGAGCACTATCTTCCGATAAGAGGTGATGCGTGAAGGTTTTCTGGAGTGGAGAACTCGAATCTGTACTCCACTTGTTTCGAAGCCCTATTAGTTGAGCACTGACCAATAGAAATCAAGTTATAGAAAAAACGATTTTCTGAGGGTAAATTAAGGCGAAGAGTTCAAATCTTCTCTGTATTCGCCCCAAATCCTATTGGTTGAGCAGTAGTCAATAGAATTCAAGTGTTTATAGAAAAGGTTTGCCAAGTTAATTTGTATATCCACACATTCTAGGATGACTGATTTGTCTCATTCACTTTTTGAAGTACACATAACTCTCGGACTTAAGTCCGAGGTTTCCACATTTATTCTATCTTGAAATAAAAAAAAAAGAAATGTTGTCTTGGTTTTTTTTCTTATGGGCAATAGATTGTATTATTATTCGAGATTGATGTTTCCTTCTATTGTCGGCGGCAGAATTAAATGTGGGTTGGTCTAAGACGAATATCTTGAGAACAGCAATAGCTAGCGATTTGCGGTTTTTCTCAATCGAAAGAGGCTGAGTTAGGACATGTTTTGATAAAATATTGTATAAGTTGAAATGATTACCTAATCAATCTTTGTTGGAATTCCATATGGAAAATGTATTATAATATAATGTAGTTCTAATGAAATTTTCATTCTAACATGAAAATCACATAGAAGGACTTCAACTCTATAGTTCAAGATACAATGGAAGTAATTAAATTCTCATTGTTTAATATTGAGCAAATAAATTTTGCCATTTCTATACGGAAATAATAGAAAATCACGTTGATTCTTCACCAACTCTTTTTTGTTTTTTATCAAAACCGTTTGTTATTTCGCTGAAAATTTGATAAAAATTTTAAAAATTAGTGAAAAATCAACGTAGTTTCCTATTACTTCAGTATAGAAATGGCCGAATTTATCTGCTCAACATTAGACAATGAGAAGTCAATCATTCCCATTGTATCTTGAACTATAGAGACGAAGCCCTTTTCTATCTGATTTGAATGTAAGAATGAAAATTTCATGGGAACTGCATTACATTATTATACATTTTTCGTATAGACTCCAAAAAAGATTGGTTAGGTAATGTTTTCGACTTATACAATATTATATCAAAACATGTCCTAATTCAGCCTCTTTCGATTGGTGAAAACCACAGATCGCTAGCTATTACCGTTCTCAAGATATTCGTCTTACACCAACTCACATTTAATTCTGGTGCCGACAATAATCAAAATTATGAAAAAAAGAAACAAGATGAATCAATTAATAATGCAAATGGAAAATATTCTTTTGAGAAAAGAAAAAAGACAAAAAGAAGTATTTTTGATTTTTATGATAAGTCAATTTGATCAGATAGACTAAATTAGCTTGTCAAGATACTAACAGGTGCAACTTTAAATTAAAGAAAGAAAAAAAATAATATTTATAGCTGATAGACAAATATGATATTAATTCTCACTCCTTCATTCAAACACATTATTGTCTTCAAGAAATAATAAAAAAAAAGAAAATTGTCATCAACCATTCAACCAAAAAGAAGTTCATTGTTAATTATTGTTAAACATGAATTTATCGTCGTCGTTTTGACTTGTCAAATATCTATGAGGTTAAATTAACTTTGAATGGAAATAATCCGATAACATTTATCATCTGATATCGGTTAACTACTAAAACAAACCTTATGCCATATTTTTCTATTCTCAACTATTTTCTTACGAAAGATTAAATCATTGATTTAGTAGTTTAATTAACAAGATCAATTACCTGTAATTATTCTCTACTTATTAAAATCTAGGGACTTAAATATGAAGATAAATATAATATGAAAATATTTTATTGATCTAAATTAATCGAAAAATAAATCTAGGCATTTTCTTTTTTTTAAAGAAAATAATCAAAGGTGCGAGCATCAAATCATTCCAATCATAATCAGTTTTATATAGTTGATTTAAATATTCAACTTTTCAAATTATCCTTCGTTTTTAAACTAATATCATATTTCATCAGCTTAAATGCTTTTTTTATCTGAAAAATTCACATAAGTTGACGTGATATATATCAATTCACTTAAGAATTCAAATTCTAAATAAAATAATTCATTTATCATAGATTGACAGATGTTACAAAATTCATGGAACAGTTTATATTACTTTAAATTCTGAATTTTATGCGAGACACTTCAAGTTAAAGATATTATTTTTAGATATTAATTAAATACATTGTCTTGTAAAGCACAAATCAGCCAAAGCATACTATACTTTTTAAGATGTTTTTTATTTTAATATTAGTCTTTTTTTCAATTTTTCTTGAATGAAGGAACCTATCTGACTGAAGATCTCCGTTCGGCTCATATTGTCGATAAACATCTTAAAACAGTTTGTGCCACTGGATATTTCTTCTCCGATTATCTTCTTTTTGTTGAACCTTTAATCTATTGATATTTTGAACGTTTCGGATGAAACGAATGCATCCCTTCTGAACTAACACATTTTCCAAAACTGTTGTTGTCACAGAAGAGCTCCAAAAATAGCTCCATCTTTATGTATACAATATTTTAAGAAGAAATCATCGGTTCGATATGACACTAAGAGGATATCATAACAACCATGATAACTATTTTTTCGAGAGAATTTTAGAATGAAACCTATTATTACGACTTTTCTCGTGACGTCCTGCAATAGGGTGAAAGTGCAGTAAAAACGATCATCAATCAAGATAATATACCTAATGGCATAAGCTCTTTCACGATTCTTCATTTACACACAATAACTTCTACCTATGTAAAAAATATGAATTCAAACGGAGATTATCAGTCCAATAGGTTCACTTGTAAGATTGAATAATGAATCTTTTATTTTTCAACAAAAATCTTTATTTGTTGAGATATAGATGTACACTCAAGATTATTTCCTGTGAATTGATTCAAATATTCGAAGGACATCAAAACTATATGGACGAAAAATGCATTCCAAGTCTACGACAATTACAGTATTGAGTAATTAAAATGCTGTTGATGTGCAGACGATTCGAATGATAATTGTTGTTTCAGTTTCCTGTTGAGTTTTCTACCAGAAAATCGAGTTCGACCAAATACAGATTTGTAAAAGAAATTTTATACAGTAATAGACCTGTAAAAAACGGATCGTTTTCTAAAACTATCATTGAAAAGATTCTTTAAAAATTATTTTCTATATTCTATTTCTAATCAATGTTTCAAATTGATTACTTTGACTCTTGTGGAGAAGAAAATAATGTTGAAAAAAGAAAATCAAGGAATGTCTTCAATCTTTCTCGCATAATATAAACAAAATATTGATTGCTATCAAAGTTCTCTTCAATCGTTAGAATTAACACAGTCAAAGTAATTGAAAAGTGGTTCATCTGAGAGAAACTGACTTCTGTCATTTGACGGAGACGACATAACAAGTAAGAAAAGTAGCTGTTCAAGTTTTGCCCTTTCTATATCGAGGCCTATAATCTCCATTCGTATATGAATTAACTAAGAACGGTAATGCTTGAAAACTCCAGTTTTCAGTGTAACTATCCTACTTGTAAATTAATCAGTATACTTCCAAGTTTAGTTATAAGAAAAGATTCGAAATAGTTAATAATGATTGGTTTAATTTAATGATTTTGTTGTCGATTGAGCAGATACTTAACCATAATTTATTTTTATTCAAGAAAAAAAAACACAAAAACAATTATCGAAGACGTTTATCTTTTAACAAAGCATTTCGAAGTGCGATCTAGAACAAGAAAAGTAAAGACATATCTAATTGAATAGTAGATATTAATTGAATAAGGGTGTGGGTGTGGGTGTGGGTGTGGGGTGGTGGGTGTGGGTGTGGGTGTGGGTTTGGGTGAAGGTATGGGTATAGAATAAAGGATACGCCACACCCACCCACACCCCTATTCAGTTCGAAATGGACGGATTTCAGTTTGATATTTTGCCTGCGCCTAACTATGCCGGCTCTGATCACGATATTCAACAGCAAGCTAACATTATCTGGCGAAAAATTTCCCGTTATGAAGGCATAGATGAGCAGCGAAAAATCTCTTTTCTATACAGTTCTGGACTATCGGAGTTGGCGTTAAAATTTATGAGAAGCCAATCCGGATTTATACATGACTTATGTCGCGTAGCCAAGTACTGGAATGGCACAGTTTTGTATAAGTCATATGTGAGCGGTCGCTCAAGTATTGTCGAATACTTGGCAGTGAAGGCAGGACAAGAAGAAGAGCAAGCATCCATTAATGACACGCTATCAATGTTGCGTGGATTTCGACGATTTTTAGATCATCTTAGAAAATATCAGCAAATATGCGTGATGTTCCCGAACTTTTACAATGAAAAATCTGTTACCATCCGTGAAAAACCTTGTCTGATTGACCCAACGAATGCTTACAACAATCTCTTGGCCAATCTACCAAATACTTTCTTACCCACAAAGGGAAAATATTCAGAAGAAACTTTGAATCGTTTAGACCAATGTGAAAAAGAATTTATCTATGAATCACAAAAATTGTTTGATCCCCAACCTGATTTTCGAAGTTTGTTTCCTGAGAACATGAATGTCGAATCGATCAAGACCATGATTAGTCACTGTGAACACTGATGAAACGTTTAAACGCATGATTGTACGTCGTGAAACATTTGATAAAGCTACCTTGGAAACGATGAAAACATTTATGGGCTACGTTCTAGAATATCTAGGTACTATTGCCAATTTTCACGATGAAAATAAACTAGCAACAAATGCTGCCAAAGCTACACAGCAGCTCATGGATCGATCGCTCTATCGAGAGTATTGTGAATGGAAACCAACAACGGAAAAGCATGAGGATTTCGATGTAACCTTTATACTGCCACTGAATACAGCAAAACAACAGGCAATACTCATTTCAATGAGCCAGCAGCGTTTAGAGCAATGAGTAAATTACCAGAAAATCAATTTCTCGCAATGAGAGACTTCTACAGTATTCACCGAATTATAAGCAGAATCTATTCTCTCGAATGATGAGAGGACGATATGAAATAAAATGAGTTTGTTTGTTTGCTTGCACGTGTAAAGTCATGTGTACATCAATGGCGTAGCCAGGGATACGACCATTGAGCAATTGTCCACTAGTTCAAAAGTAATTGCCCATGGGGTTTTTGAAACGATACCAATTGCTCGATGTCGAAAAATCTTGATACATATACGCGTACAAAAATCTAAGTAGCGTCATTTTTATACATTGTATCTTGTTGTGATCTAATCAAGTGTTCCTGCAAAATCCACTGACTATTTCTTCCATTAAACTAATGCTCACAATGATGGCAACTCAATGATATTTTTTTGTCACAACACTCGTTATTCCACTTAAATTCACTACTGGTTCTATTTTTGCTTATTTATTCTATTTAGCCTAATATATTCAAATATTGAAAAGTTGAAGAGTACATTTGTGATAGAGTCCAAAAAAAAGATGTCAATGCAATTTCTGCGGGATGAAAATGTGAAAAACGATGGAGCTATTGTTACTAATCACAAGCATATTGTTTTATTCAATCTATCTTGATATCCATTTCTTTATCATCTTTTACTTAATCCTCTAGAATTGCAAGAAGGAAGTAGTTCATATATTCTGATGAGATGCTAGTGATCTATGATCGCTATTCGTGTATCAAAACATCTGTCACCGTCTGTGGGGAAACACAGTGGACAGTCAGGCAACAAAATCGATTTTAGAGATTTGAATCTATGTCGTAGCTAGCATTGAAGCTACTATGGTGCTTCATTTAAGTGCATCCTAGATGCTGCTTGATAATGAGTATCTGTTAAGCAGCAGGTACTGCAAAGCACATAAAATTGATGAATATCATTTAATAGGATCATATAAGTAAATTGTATGTTTTAAATTGAGGATCTAATTATAATCATTAGTTATTATATAGTTATGCAGTGTTATGTATTTATTATATATTATAGACCATTTGGACTTTTTGAAGTTCTTTAGGCTATAGTAAGATCAAAAACTTACATTCAGTATAGTAAAAAAATACCCACTGGTCAATAATGCAGTTATTTTTCCGAAACTTTAATTCGAGTTTGAATTTGTTATTTGATAGAGCATGTCATCATCTATCTTCACCAGATGGGCAAAGATGAGCATTTAAATCCTTATCGAGATATAGTGTCTCAAGTGTAGCCTTCTATCAAAACTTATTAGCAACTTTAATAGTGTGATCACTTATGTTTTAGTCCATGAAGTTTCGAACAGATAAATAAGCAGCACACGTACACCAACCTCAGGTTTTAGATTGACCATTTCGTTTTAAAATCGGCTCTTTGTCTCTTTCTTAGGAATTAAATATATGAAAAAAATCATGCATAGGTTTTCTTTTAAGATGTACATCTCCCAAAACAAATCTTTCCCTCTTTATCTTTATATGATGTCAACCTTTGTATTATATTTATTACTGAGTAGAGATATGACATGAAAGTTTTATTTCATTTAACTGTGCAGATCACACTAATAAAACTCTCATGTCATATCTCTACTCAGTAATAAATTCGATGCAAAGTATGCTGGGTGTGGAGGTGTAGGTGGATGTGTGCGTGGGTATTTTCTCTTCAATAACACCCATACCACACCTACACCCACACCCACCCACATCCATATTATTTTTTTTTCTATTCATCATTGTATAAAAATAATAACAGGCCTCGCAGCGTGTTTACTTTCCTGATTTATTCCTGATTTTTTAAGACTGTCCTGATTTTCCTGTTTTTGACCAAAAATCCTGATATTGTCCTGATTTTTCCTGACTTACCAATATANCCTGTGATTTCTAAAGATATTCTATAAGTCTGAGAGTAGAGTCAGTGGTCACCGGATAGGATCGCATACAGTATGATCCATGCTAACTTAGCACGTCTGTATTTTCTCCTTGCAATTTAGTGATAAAAAGCACAGTGAATGTACCTTTTCACTTTTTGAAGTACACATAACACTCGGATTTAAATCCGAGGTTTTCGCATTTATTCTTTCTTCAAATGTGACGCAATAACATCAACGTGGCAATAAGCAAAACGTGGCAAAATATGCATATATTAATTATATGTATAGAAATGTTTAGATTATTCAGTCCAATAACGGACGAGTATTGCTCATTACTCCCATTTTATGAGAAATAGTAAATGATTCAATGATGAAATATTTTCTTATTAAGTCTGTCCTATACGTGTTGGTATTTTTCTTTCTTGCTGAGCAAAGGAAATATCCATATGTTATCATTATGCTCTAATGTCATTAATAGATAACAACAAATAGTGAAGACATTTATAAATAGTCGTCAGTCAGATGCATAACGAAAACGATGGCTACAAGAGAAGTACAAGTTATTGATAGAATTCTCGTCTGCGATGTCCATACTGCAATCCTTGATAATCATCTTTAGAAAAGATCGATTGAAAACTTACCAAGATGTTAAACATATCCGATGACTGTACTCTACGAACGAATTCAAAACTCCACAGGAACTTGTCCACATTGGGTTTAAGTCACCAAAATACATCAAAACGTTCCTTTAAGAGGGTTTCATTAATGTTCGTTACCTTCGTTGTCAAGTGAAATCTTTAAAACTAACTATGCATGTAAGGAGTAAACTTGAAAATAACAATGGATCAGTTTATAAGTCAGAGATATCTATTGAAAAACAGCAACTTACTGGTAAAATTCTCGTCCACGATGTTCCTACAACAATCGCTGAGAATGATCTTAGGAGTCACTGCACTAGAACCTCGCCTGAACCTCTGATATAGCTGCTCAACCAAAAATTTTAGATTTGGATGTGAGTTAGCATTTTTTGTAGAGCAAATTGCTTTACAACTATAGCCAAAAGTTTTAAACTTAACCGATAAGTTTTGGTTAATATGTCATGATCTATAGTCCATTTCAGAGTTTAACGGCCGTGGCCATTTTTTGAATGACTTTCAATCAGCAAGGGCTATCGAGCTCGGGGTTTCGTCATTGGAAAGAGGAAGCTCCGAAGCGTCTTTTAGAATGATTGTGCCGAGGCCAAAAACGTATTTTTCTGACCAGTCCTACGTTGATACCTTGCTGTTGCGTTTCTTCAATGAATTTTCTCGATATTTTAACTTCAAACTACATCAACTTGTAGCCCAAATCTCACTGTATACGTAGCGAAAATTCGATATCTTCGTGTCGTCTTTTCTATCTCTTTTTTCCAATATGATCACTTTGCTGTATGATAATGTTATCGTGCATATAGTGGGATTCGGACTACAAGTTGGTGTAGTTTGAAGTTAAAATGTCGAGAAAATTCATTGAAAAAATGCAACAGCAAGGTATCAGTGTATGATCGGTCGGAAAAAAATGTCTTTGGTCTTGACACAATCGTACAAAAAGACGCTTCGGAGCATCCTCTTTCCAATGACGAAATCCCGAGCTCGATTGCCTTTGCGGATCAAAAAGTTATTCAAGAAATGATCACGACCATTTAATTCTGAAATGGACAATAACAATAACACCCAAAATAGCTATCTATTGCTTTTTTGTTAATTTAACATATTTTTTTGTCAGTCATTGATCTGAAATTTTTCAGGATAACTCATCATTAGTAGGGTGTGAGTGTGGGTGGGTGTGGTTTCACTCTTCTCTTCAGCTACATGCACACCCACACCCTCATCGAACGGCAGTTTTGCTCATTTAAATATTTACCTATGAAGAAGACGAGATACTAAATTGAAAAAAATTATTAGTCTATGGTCTTTTATATATTGAGGTGGGTACGTACATTATGGTCTGCTTTATTGTGCTTCTGCAAGTTGTATGAGAATATATTCCTCATTCACTTTCGTCAATTAGTGCATGACACGGGACTCCTCTCTGACGAGCAAACGGGATTCGGGTCTGGCCACAATATAACAGCACGCATCGTAGCTCTAATAGATCAGATTGGGCAAGGTCTTGCGCTCAATACTGCTAAAGCAGCTGTATTTGTGGACTTCAAGACGGCTTTTAACCAACTTTGATACACAGGTTTATGGATTAAACTTAAAAGATTAGGATGTCCTCTATATCTGATTGCATGGCTAAGGAATTACTTGTCGGATTGTAAAGCACATATTGAAATCATGGATTGAAGATCGGTGATTTTTTTATTATACAAAGATGATGCCACAGGGCTGCTGCATTGGACCTGTCCTATTCATCGTGTTCCATTATAATTTAATAGAATCAATCTCAAATCTATATTGAAAGCATCTCTTTGCGGATGATTTTTCAGTAGTCGTATCATCAACTGCCATGTGGTCATCGAAATTGCTGATAGAGCAGCCCGTACAAGAAATAACAGAAGTGATAAAAGATATATATGACTATTCTATTACCTGGAAGTAACCGATTAATTTTAAAAAGACGTTCTGGAGCATTTCATATAAGTTCGAAATTCTCTGATTGGATTAGAATTTTTGCGCTCTTTTCAACTACCTCTTTAGAATTATGTTGGTTTTCGTTTGAAGGTAAACTAATGTTGTATTTGCTTGATTTATTCGTTTGAATTGATTGCGTTCAAATACAACAAGAGTACAAGCTTTGGTTTACTAGTTTCTAGTATATTAGCAAAAAATAAGTGATATAGGTGCTTTGTAAATCATATGTAGAATGTGCATAAGGAAGGTGAATCAAATACTAATACGCAATAGAAATAAAGAACAAGTATTTCTTCTTTTTTCGTGTTCTCATACATTGTCGTCATTTTAATGACCTATTCCAGATTTCGACGTCATCTTGTTGGCTGCAACGCTGTTTGCTTGACCAATACCATGAGCGGTTTGTCTGCTTGAACCTCGTCCACTGGCACCTACTCCAACTAAAGCAACGAGTTCGCTGAGATCACCACGGTTATGATCATTTCTTACGCTCAATATTTCACCAGCATTGTTTGGATTAGAACCACATCCTACACATACTGTTCTTTTTTGAAAATTAAATGCCATTTTTTCTATGAGAACCTAGAAGACTGCTGCAAATGTGAAAAAAGGATTGAATAAATGTATTGTTCTTCAAGAGAGTATGTTTCTGTTGATGATGTTGCTATGCACCCCGTGCGATTGCAATTCAGTCTCTTTTCTCTGTCAACTAGGAAAAAAGTAAAACAAAATCGAAAACATGAGTTTACATTCGGAACTGGATAATTTGATGGAGAAAACAATTTTAATTCATAAGCTCACGTTATTTGAATAACAGTTCAAAGAAATATTTCGTTATCTCTACGTAGTAGTAATGACTTGTTACGTTCATTTTATTCGAGAAGAAATTATATCAAGTTGAAGACATTTAATATAATATACATTTTTATATGGTAAAATTATGTTAAGAAATCATTTTTACAAGATGATAGTAACGCTACAATAAGGAAGATTTCACCTAAAACATCTTTCACGTAGTATCAATCCATGATTTTTGACTATTTTCTTTATTATTCAATCAGTTCAGAAAAAAGTACAATTGGATGATGTACACTATTCGGAATATAACAATCTGATTTAACCATCGAATAATGTCTGCGAGTAAAATACGGAATGAATATTTCTCAAGTTTCAGATTGATTTGGGTGTGAGGTGTGAGTGTGGATGTAGGCATGTACCATAGAATAAAACACCCACACACCTCATTCACTACCATGCTTACACTCACAAACACCCACACGCCAATAATTTTACACCAAGTACAAATAGTTTATTTGCAGCAACAAATAGGGTCATCAAAGATGAGCACACATTTAGAGAACGGTATCCATTATCAAAACCTTTTAAAATTGCAAATGATATCGTCCCTAGATGATCCAAATCTCGCCATCAGGATCAAATAGATCCGATCATATACTCAACTGAACCAACAATTACATTACAAAACTGGACTACTGAATATCATTTTGAAAAATCATCGAAATCAGTATTACGAATATCATCAAAAGGAAAAGGTTTCACTGATTGCTATATACCAGCTGACGAAGCACAAAATGTTACAATAAATAAAATCCAGAAATGCAAAAGGAAAAATGCACGTCATTTGATCAATTTAAAGACCTTAAATTTAGAAAATGGAGAGTAACTTTATTAGATTATGCAACGGAATGGAAAAGCGGACTTTGCGATTGTCCAAGCTTCAAAGAATAAAATTGTAAACATATTATTGGCATGGTTATTAGGTTGACATTTTGTAAACCATCTCCATCAGCACAGAATATACCTTTGGATGAAAAAATAAAACGAGGATGGCCACGAAAATCAACAACAGCTCTAATAATATAATAGCTGTACAATTAACTTATTTACTTAGATTTTTATGACAGTTTACTTAACAACAATTGCATATTTACCGAGAGATTTACAATATTTTACTTAGAAAATCAAACTTTTTTACTTAGAATTTAAATAAAAAACTTAGCAGTTAAATAGTGGCCAATAAAAATTGTTTTAAATGAAAGAGATTCATCAGATTTCCTCGTGCAAAAGATATTCAACAGAACGGATTTGAAATCGAGGAGAAAAGTGACCTAGACTCTTAAATTTTAACCCAGTTTTGTGCCAGTGAAAAACCAAGTTTGTAGGACTTTTCGCAAAAATTTATTTGTAAGCCTAGGCGTAAATGTGATAAAAAATATGTAAATTGATAGGGAAATCAACGCTCTATTTGAGTTCATGTGAAAGAAAAGAAGACGGGGTGTTTAAAAAATAAAAAGTTCTTCGAAAAAAGTCGAAAGTCATATATGAAAGAAAGTTCACGAAAAATTTTCGAAGAAATTTCCTAAGTTGATAGTAAAAATATGAAATAAACCTATCAAAAAATATATACTTCAATAGAGAAACGAACGGTTCATTTACTCTATATAAAAATAAAAAGTTTCAATAGTCCAATAAATAATAATCATGGAAAAAATTACCTCAAAAATTATCTGAAACTTGCTGTGTGAAGAAAACCTTTTTGACTGCTTTTCGGGATTTATCAATTTTGTGTACAAGATGTAAAATAAATAAAATAAAAACTATATAATTCTATAGAGTAATTGATGTTCTATTCAATTAAATCAAACTAAAAAGCATTGGATGTTTTGTATACATACAGCAAACTTCACAAAACTATTAAAAATAACTGAATCAAACTGTATATTATGAGGAAATTAAGATAAGACTTCATATCGTATAGAAGCATGTGTTTTATTTCAATACGAAATCGCCGTATCAAGTTATTTTCTACTCACTTTTATACATTCACTACTAATTATATTAGCACGTATTGTATTACACTTTTTTCTCGTTTCTCCTTGTTGAGATGTCAATGAACGAAGAAGAGAAACAGAAGAATGCAAAAATCAAGTAGCAAGTGCAAAGGCAAGAGAAGATTAAACTAACAGAAGATGCAAACATTATCTTTTTTAAGACAAAGGCGAGAAAAGATTATTTTTGTATTATTCAGAAGAAATAAGTAACTGATATCATGTTTATGCCTGGAGGAAACTCTCTTATTCGTGGCACACATATGAATAATAGTTTTAGTTAGTCCAAAATCATGAACAACTTTAAAAGTAATGTTGATTAGTGATTCTAATGAAACTGATAACAATTATAAAGTTCACAGCTATAACTACGTCAAAATTCATAACTACAAGCTATAGTTATTATTCGTCTCCTAAGTTATTAGTACTGGTCATAGTTGGAACTCTAGTTGATACTATTAACTGAAACTGAAAGTGATAACAATTGCAAATTTTGATTATATAGTAACATCTTTGTTCAATCACTCCATTCAGAAGTATCAATACATCAGCAGTATTCTAAGCTAAAACAGGAAGACATATATATACATCGCCAGTCGCCCAAGGGTTAACGAAAATAATTTCTTTAAAAAAATAATCTCCCATATAAATAAAATAATGTCTCGTTTTTTTCTTCTAAAACTTTTGTTTCTTTTGTCTAAATTAAATAAAGAGAAGAAAATGTTTCGAAAATATCTTCAACCATCAATTTATACATCATGTAGCATTGTATATTTCTTAGCAGATAAAGCATGCCGACATGTTCGTTGTAATTTAATGTAGTTGTAGTTTTGAAGTTTAAAGATTCAATATAGAAACATTTTTTTTCTCTCGAAAATTCATTTTTAAGTTGCTTTCATTTCGTACACAATCAACACACTAAACTGTCGTATAAAGGAATGCAAGTGTGCATAGAACTGGGAGTAATCCATGTATCCACACACCTCTTTTTCTTTATTTTACTTAATAATTGGGAATTAACAAATTGAAACGACTAAAAAATAAATTGCCCTCACTCACACTCTAATGTTATTCATTATTTGAAAATGTTGTCACTAGAAGCTGCTATATCAGTCTCTACACTGATGCCTATACTGATCAAGTAGAGTGAGTTTAAGTTAACACAAAGAAGACATTTAAATAAATATCGTAATGATTATATGATGGTAATTAAATTAACCTCTGGAAACACAAAACAGCAAACAACATGAATAGACTGACTGTACAAGTATTTCATTCGACTTGATTTTTTTTTCACTGCACCTAATCGATATATATATATATATGTGTTCAGATTTTATTCTGGTACATTCATACATTGCTAAAATAAACAAATCTTCAAATATAATTTTTTCGAATCTTATTAAATGAATGACGAAAAGGAATTCCAAAGTCGATATGTGCAGGATTACATTATCCTATTCTATCTTGTAAGGTAGAGTGACGAAAGGCTTAGAAAAGTTTTCTCAATTATAGTACGAAGTATGAAAAGCTTGCTCTCCATACATCTGCTGTGATATGATTTATGCTATTTATCGCTTTTAGAGTCTTCAAATGGGATGCTATTACGGAGCGTGAAATAAAATGCAGTAGGATAAAGTAATGGCAGCCAATCAGATGAGGACCCATTTTAAGGCATAAAAGCGTACACTTGATACGCTGAAACGACAGTAAAAAAAACACCATACTCACATTCGCTTTGCTTTATTTTAGAAACGTTCAAAGTGCATCTGCAACAAGTGAAAACACGATTTTTGATTGATTCTGTCTGACCTGGTAGATGGTGTAGACGTTAAGATAACAATAATATAAAGTTTCCCAATTTAGTACTGGATCCAAGAAAAGTTAATCCTACATTTCTGCTGAAAGTATCACCCTCATCAAAATTATACAATGGTTGAAGAAGCTGCTCAAACAAAATATGAACAATTACAAACATTAGCATGTTGCCTTCCCATTAATGAACTTATCCTTGCATTTAAGTGTAAGAAAAAAAAATTCGAAAAGCTCTCAAAATTGGCAATCTAAAGCAAGCCATCGCCACTGAATATCCATAAGAAACTATGCTGAGCTAAACATGATAGTTTCTGATAGACAAAATTATCTGCGAAAACTTTGTTAAGTGTCTTCCAAAAAATACTAACTGCTTGCAGTTTCAAAAGCAATTGACATTCTGAGAGAGAAGCGAAATGAATTTTTCCAGATGAGATCATTAGATAAGAATATATTCTTATACCTTACATAAATTCTTACTATAATATAATATTCTCATGTGATCTTACCCTTCGTTACGATCTGGTATGATCTTATTAAGAAATAATATATCTTATCCAGCAGTAATACGTTATATAATCGTATAATGTGACTTGATGCAATTATTTGAGGCGTACTATGTTCACAGGCGTTAGTTTTAATTTTTTCCCATCATACAAGATCAGCCAACGAATTTCGAACTTATGATCATCTATTCATTGGGTCGAATTTTTACGTCTGAAAGTATTCAAGGAATCAATTTTTCGGGAAAATTATTCTCATTACATGAAACTTAAAGAGAAAATCATTTCTGTCAGTTGAAGATAGGACGAATATGTTACGATCTCGATGTCTATATCACAAGTAATCATCATATCGACAAGGAGATACATCTGTAGCGTAAAGTATTCAACACAATAAGATTAAAAAAAGAAAAATTTCCTGAATTAAAACTTTGATATGTGTAATTTAGTGTCATGTATGCTTGTATAGATGTGATATAATTTTTCTTATTCCACATATCACTTTTAATATTAACTTTGTTTCTATTTAATTCCTATAAAACAAAAAAAAGTGATGTCAAAATAATTCGTCTAATGCTCATATATAATCTAATGAATCTCGTCTTTATTTATTATTTAGAACCATACAATAAGTCCGTAACAATCTTTCTCCACAACAATTCGTGGTTTCTTATTTAGCCGTAAAGCGAGAATGTTGCTTCGTAGTTGTTTAAAGAATAAATACTGTTGTGGATGTGTTACGTCAAAATTGTAAATTTTTTGATAATATTTACATCGAAAAGAGAAGCAAAAATCAGAGACCATTGATGCCGTCTCTGCCAAGTTTTGACAACTTATATAATCTGGTGGAATAATCATACCATATAAAAGTATACGTAACGAATTTAAGAACGAAATAGTTGAGAGAGTTCTCAAATGAGTTCAATCATTTCTTGCAAGATGAAGATGTTTATAATTAAGAGTAATCGGAATTGATCGAATATATCTTAAATAAGACCGATTATTCAATGAATCAAAACTGTCTGTAAGAATAAGATGATCAAAAATTGTTAAATTTCAAGATATCTGTTCATTACATTGTGATAAATGCATACAATGGGCTATTTAATTTCAGTCTGAATTTATCAAATAAAAATAATACTTTATTTCAAACTGAAACGTGAGTCTAGGAGTGAGGGGGGTGGGT